TGGAGGAATTGCTTTGCTCGTCAATCAAGGCATATACTTTAATAACGTGATCAGGTTCATCTTGTTGGAAAACTTCGAGTAACACAATCTTGCTACAGGAGACTCTAGATATTGGTTGGCATTTGACGTTGGTACGGGCTGATGTTATATCTTCTTCCGTGTTGTCTTTCTTCTTTAACTTCTCCATATGAAGTATATCTAAGTGACGCTTGCTTCCACATTTGTTACACTTAATGCTGGCTTTACATTCCCTAGCTAGGTGTTTTGATTGCAGGCATCGAAAGCAACGTCCAGCTTGTCTCAACCAGTCCGTCTTCTCTTGCAAAGTCTTACGTTCGAAAGCTCTGCATTCTGATAGATTATGTCCTTGTCTGTCATGGAAGGCGCAATGTTTAGTAACATCTTCCTGTTCTTCCGTTTCGATTTCTCCCTTCAAGATGGTATGGTGGTCTTCGAATTTCGGTTTCTCTTTCCACTTTCCAGGCATATCTGTGGCTGTGACGTTAGGATGATTCCGTAAGCAAGATTGGCTTTTCATCATGTTGGCGAAAGCATGGAAATCAGGATAAGTGTCAGCGTTTTTTTCAGCAAACTCCACAACTCGTTTCTCCCATTTTGAACGAATAGATGTTGGCAAACTAGTTAAAATTGGTCGGATGGTGTGTGGATAGTTCAGACAGGCAAGTCCAGGAAGTTGCTTAATCTGGGAAGACACATCGATACACAGATCTGAAAACGCCTGCAGACTTTTCTTATCCCTGTCAGTGAATTTTGCAGCCTCTTTCAATCGCGTCAGTAGTGTATTGGTTATGATCGCTACGTTGCCAAAACGATTTTCTAGCTCCACCCAGAGTTCTTTCAACAACTTGTTCGAGTCGCCATATTGTCTTTTGCGAAAACTGTTCACCAATTTCTGTGGTGCTCCCCTAGTGTACATGTGCAAATAGTTCATCTCTTGTTCTGCGGTTATCTCAGAGTCGCTAATCATACCCTTGAAAGAGCCTTTCCACGGATGAAACATAGTCGCATCGCCGAAGAATATATCGGGGTGACATTTAGGAAGACTTATTCTTGCTAAACTGGCGGTCAATTTATCGTTGGTTGCTGCGACGGCCCCCAAACATTCGTTTACCACTGTAGCTGGGTCGTGTTCCACGGTTGTATACGGTGGGTAAGGTTGAACAGGGTTGTGTTGTGGATGATGGGGATGATGGGTGTACTCGAGGGTATGTTGTGGGTAGTGGGTGTACTCGAGGGTATGTTGTGGATAGTGTGTGTACTCGAGGGTATGTTGTGGATAGTGGGAACCGATGGGGATTTGTTGTGGTAACTGCTCTGAACCAGGATCAGTCGCAATTGGATCCGTCTGACGAGGCTGATCATCAAATCGAACGCCGAGCTTTCTCCTACTGGTGACATTGGTTAGATTAGTGTCTGGAGCCACGTTTTGTTGCTGGTCTTGCACCCACGTTTTGGTACGTTGTCTCGAAGTGGCACTTGTGTCTTCGTCAAGTTTGCTTGGAGAGGATATTTCGTTTAATATAGTTCGTTCGATGGCATTTAGTTTTGCTTCTGCCACGGCTGTAAGTTTTCTAGCGGCTAGGACTGCAATATCGTGGTCGTGTTGTGCTTTCGCGGCTGCTCTCTCTCTTTCGTCATGTGCATCCTTTTGTTTTCTCGCGTTTTCTTTCTCAGCCATCAATAAATCATATTCGGCTTGACGTCTTGCTGCCGCTGCATCTGCCAAGGCCTCTATCCGGGCAGAAGTTGACGGTGCGCGAGATCGCATAGATCTACCCGAGTGCCCCGAAGCTGAACGTCCAGATCTCTTCGAAGACGTTTCTTTAGTCTCGCTATTAAGCTTTTTAGCCGCCTCCAATAATGTGGCTTCTGCTTGTTGAATATGGGTGTAACTTGTTCGCTCTACAACGGGCTCCACGTCAACAGTTTCTTTCCATCTATCTTGTTCGAACAGACGTTTAAGATTCCCGAGACTGATTTCAAATGTTTGTTTACTTTTCTCCAAAAGGGCTGTTGCGCTCTTCAACTTTGATGTTTCCGACTCACTCAATGCCGCGTGAACAGAGAGGATTGCCCTTTGTAATGCCTTTGTTTCTTTATTGAAGTCCGATGTCTTTTGTAACAGTGTGTTTTGAAACCCTTTCTGGGTTGGGATTCGTTGACGTTTAACAGCAGGTTCGACTGTAGCGGTTTCGGTGGCATTGTCATCCGAGATTTCCGACATTTTATTGATTATATGTCTTGTTGTTCACTAGTGCATAACTCGTAGACAGTTGTCCGGGCGTTGCGAAATCAAATACCAAACTTTTTCACTGTCGTGCCCCGAGCGTAAGTGGGGACGAAGTCTCAACCAGACGGGTATGAAGTATGATTTAATACCAATCGGTGAAAAACTACAAAACGATTTACAATAAACTAAAGTATTTACATATGAACCAGACAATACAACAGGCTGAATAATACAAATTGAGATACAAACAGCAAACACACACACACGAAAAGACTTACGTTTATGCTCCGATTAAGCAAACTGCAGGTTATAACAAGCTAGTGATTCTCCTATTCCCCAAGTAAATATTTCCCCTGTTCTCCAGATGAATGTGAACGAATTATAAAGTTATGATTACTAAGTTTTACGCAGTTATATACTCGCCACTTGTTCAGCCATGCGATATGCATGCATAATTATAATGATAATGTCAAGAGTCATCACACAGTTTATTGACAAAGATCAACTGAATTGGTACAACATATTGGCAAACATTTACTAAGAAATATATGGCTGTGAATGTTGAAATCATACCCTGGTTGTTTGAAACAGTTTTTACCTTTTCTTGTAGTATGTCAAGCAATTCGATATGTCAGATGTGCCCAGAGCACCAGTCAAAGCACTTGGTGATTAACAGGATATTCAACAGTTTTTACTCTTTCCTGTAGTATGTCAAGCAATTCTATATGTCAGATGTGCCCAGAGCGCCAGTCAAAGAATTTGGCGATTAACAGGATATTAAACGTGGTACAATACCAAGCCAAAGTAAATACACAATAGTCCAAGATTACCTCTTGACTTTATTTTGTATCAATTATTTTGTATCGACAATGGGAGCAGAGCTGGTTCATTCCGAGATACGATACTTGGCGAGTTCAGAATGGCACAGGAGGATTGCTATTATGTTGTCCAAGCCAGGAAACATGGGATGTTTACAACAACACATGGTCCAGCTCCTGTAGTTTTATCTTTGTTGTTGCACCAGTGAATGGAAATTTTCATTTTGAAATTTCACAATGCTTGTGCTGAGAACTGTGATGATGCAGTGCAAGCATTCCTAATGTGGAGAGGAATTTTTCAGCAGAGATGCAGCCATTGGAGGTGTCCCTGTTTTTGGCAAGGCAGCTGTATCTGCTGTCAACCAAGACAATGAAAGCAAAAGGAATGATCTCACAAGTTTGATGTTTCGCCATGAAGCCACTGATAAGAACCTCAAAAACTTAAAAAACTAACTAACAGATTGCCATAAAAAATTTGAAGTGGAGATGGATGTTGCCCTCCCACTGAGATGGAACTATTTGCAAAAATGATGGATTTGTGGGACTGCATGCATGGATGGTACACTGATCAACGCCTTGGAGGCAATAAAACAAGACTTGCATATCTGTCATGCAGGAGTTTGTGTAAAATATTGTAGAATACAACAGCACTGCAAATGCTGTGAAAGACTGTGCAAACCACATGATAGGAACAATGGTGAAACAGGCAGTGCAAAGGGACTACTGTGCTTTTGCATAAGAATACGCCTGCCTTTCATGGACGTGTCTGAAGTAAAGTATTCCATACGCATTTACAAACAAGCCAGTTTGATGTTGACTACAATGACCCCATTTCTAACTGGATAATCGGTTATGTCGGCATAGCATCATTATGCACAGCCTGATCAATCATCCATGAGGCTGATGACATTTGCCTACCAAAGGATGCACAGGGCAACTCGACGGCTTCACATGATTTCTATGGTTGTCGATTATTACTGGAGCTCTTGATAGAAAAGGATGGGATTTGCAAAAAACCCTCGCACATCTTCAATTTACCGGAAGAAGCTTTTGAATACCCATTCAGATCATGGTATGTCTGTGGAGAGTGGACTCCACTTGCACAGCAATACAGGGACCACATTCCCATTTCCAACTGGCCTGCGCACCTGGAAACAACCAACAACACCTGCGGTCATCAAGGGGAACGATGTGGAACCACCATCAAGCCAAGAACAAGATTCATGCTCTCTGTGCATCATCCATTGCAAACTAGAATACGAAAGCATTTGTTTCCGAAGAGCAATAAATATACCAGACACAGGCTAGGGTCTCTCCCGGAAACCACACATGACTGGTCTAGCAAAGGGTTCTCATATATTTATATATATCTATATATATATATATCAGATGATGAATCTCGCAGTAACGAGTCTTGTTGACTGTATAGGATCGAAATATTGTCAAAGAACCTGTGCTTTGACGCGGAACTGCCATATGGAAATATTTGGGTCTTTACCACTTAGAATAAGCGACTTCGAGTCTGTATAAAAATGAATAGATATATTCTCCTGTTTGTTCAGCTTGGAATGGCCTCCTGGCGAAGTCTACTTTATGTTTGGAAGACCAGAACTTCACAAACAAACTGTTGTAACGCTTCAAAAGAAGAAGACCATATAAACTTGCCCTTGTTAATAGACAAGCCATGTATTAAGCCTAATTCAGCTTGAAATATAAATTATTATTACTATAATAAATATATATTATTATTACTATAATTAGATTAGAACATTATCTGTGTTGCCGTTTTAAAACTTCTCACAACCCAGCCCCTGTTCTGTCCAATTTTTCAAATGTTCATATGTTATACAATTTTATATGTACTATCCTACAATACTTCATTCAAATTATGCATGTGAGTTTAATGTACAGAAAAACACACTCAAACTCATGCAACTTTAGTCATGGAAATATAAATTATATAACAATGTTATCTGTGTTGCTGTTGTAAAACTTCTTACAACTCAGCCTCTATTCTATTTTTTCAAACTTTCACATATTGTACAATTTTCTATGTACTTTCCTACGATACTTCATTCAAATTATGCGCTTGAGTTAAAAGAATAGAAACACACTCAAACACATGGAATTTTAGTCAGGGAAATATAAATTATTATTACTATAATTAGATTACAATGTTATCTGTGTTGCCGTTTTAAAACCTCTCATAACCCCTGTTCTGACTGATTTTTTCAAACTTCATATGTTATACAATTTTATTTGTACTTTCCAACGATACTTCATTCAAATTATTACAACCAAAAAAGTTCCCAAGCAAAAAAAATGAAAATGAGTGATCAATGATTATCCTCTATTAAATTGTATTACAGTGAATGGGAAATTTTGTATTCCGTTACAATAAAAATGACTTGCATTATCAGAAAACATAAAAAACTGCAAATAAGACTTCTAAACAGTTGTTTGATCCTTCAAATAATCTTTGAGTTATTGATATTTTAATTATTGTCAAAATTGGACAAAAATGTCGCAATATGGACTGGGTACTAGGCCAGAAATGTGTTTTTGACAGTGTATAACTCGAAAACAATTTGAAATATAAAAAAATGTTTAAATGCACTATATATATATATATATATATATATATATATATATTTGTAACCTTTCTGATAATGCTAGCTATTCTTGTTGTAATTGAATACAAAATGTCATATTTTCTTGCTGTAGTACAATATAATAGAGGATCACTGATCACCCATTTTCTCAGTTTTGGATAATAGTCTAGGACCTGTATATGAGTTTGTATGCGTTTCATTTAGCACAGGTAATCTCAACTGTTTTGGGGTAAAATGACCATGGCGGTCAACATGGCATATGTGCCAAAAGCTGAATCCGACCCCGCCCTGAAACGGCAGTGTCAACATAGCTCTAACTTCAGAAAACAAAAAGCGATAGTCTTTCTGAAGTGCTTATAGTGTTTAGAAGGGTTGCTTTTAGGGGTGGTCATTGGAAGAGAAAATTTGTCTAAGTATAATATTTTACAAGAAAATGACCATGCACCACCCCAGGCAAATTGCTGATTATGCATAAAGTAACTAATATGCCTGGCAGAAATTAAATATTCTTATTTCCTAAAAAAATTATCATGGGGTTAAAAACTATGCTTAATTTAATATAATTATTGTTGATTTCATAAGGATTGTCATTGTTTTCTTTAAATATATAATAAATTTTATTTCACTTACCCCCCACGAAAACACGATTTCAGCCATATTTTGCCGTCTTGTTTGCTTTTTATCGCCGAATCACGCAAATATCATCCAGTTATTGTACTTTTACATAATCATAAATGGCTGAAGAAGATTTCAAAGAAGGTTTCATCCACTTTTGAAACAGTGGAGTGTATTTTATCTTCGA